TGGAGGCCAGCCCACCAGGCCCAGGTCTTGCCTCCCCACTGCCTTGCTCAGCCCTTGGGGAATCTGACCTCTGGGAACCTGGGGGACTGGGGAAACGGCCTCCCTGATGCCACTGGCCCCAGGGTCCTGAGGCCTTCTGTACCCCTGCTGGTCACCTGCCCCTCCCATGTCAGGGCAGGGGAAGTACCACTGTGCCCGTGCAACGACTGTCAGCTTTTTCCAGTTCTGTTTTATGGACTTCAGGGGGCTGCCAGAGTTATAAATAGACGTTCCTGAGCTAAAGATAGCCTTGCCAGAGCCACAGCCAGTGTCTCTAGCTTTTGGCCTCTTGGAGGACTTCTGAAGATGCAAGATCTGAGGACCCTACCTCCTCCCGCAGCCTCACCCTTTCATTTTCTCTCGCTTCCTCTTCCTCCCAGGCCTCCGGAAACACACGTACACCACACACACGTGTGTGCTCACCCCCTTGCCCTTGTGCTCATATACACACACGTGTGTGGTCACACCCACAAGCAGAGACACAGGTCTGGCTGTTGTCACTGGTTTGGGCTACCTGCCTGCTTGAAAAGGGGGAAGGAGCTGTAGGGTGAGCAGGTGAACCCTCCAAGTTGGGGCAGAGGCCCCCCAGGAACTGGTGCTGCGTTAGCCGGGGGACTGTGGGGCTGGGGCCCAGGTCTGCTGGCGAGGCTGCCTGAAGACTGCGGGCACTAAGTTCTCAGGAAACACAGAGGGGTGCCTGGCGTGTAGTGAGCGCTCAGTGTATTGGAGCTGCTGCGATGGTAACAACCAGGCCAACTCTGGAGTGACCCGGAGGAGTCGTGTCTAAAATCCGTCCCAGGGCAGCACAGCATGGACGCTCAGAGCTACTGTGTAAACCCACATGGGCAGGTGAACCCCAACCCCGCCATGGGGGCTGCTCTAGCGCGTTCCACGCACACACTGTGATCAGGGAGGGAGGCCTGCCTCTGGGGAGAGAACCCACACTCACGTGTGCACACACTCAGAGCTCTGCAAGGGCGCGTGGAACTGTTCCCAGGGTTACTTCTGGAGAGGGGTGGGGGGAGCTGAGGGGCAAAACTGAGTTTCCGTTGGACACAGTTTTAAGTTATGTGAATTTTCAGTAGCACGTAGCAACAGAAAGGGTGCTTTACATCCCAGGGTGCAGCCAGGGACGTGGGCTCTGCCTGCCCAACCTGCCCGCTGGGCTCAGGGTAGTGAGTCCCGAGCAGTCTGACTTTCCAGGCCCAACTCCCCAACCTCCTGGGCCCAGGAAGCCCCTCTACCACCCACCCACCCTCCCCAGCCTGAAGAAAGAGGCAGTCGAGGCGCAGAGAAAACGTCCAGCTCAGAATTTATTACAACACGTTTCCAAATACAAAAGAAGGGGACAGGACAGGGGGCAGAGTGTGGCCGCGCTGGGGGAGGGGTTCTGAGGAAGGGTGGGCAGCTGGGTGGGTGGCCCAGTCCAGAGAGACCGGGAGCCCTGTCGGGGTACCTGCCACCTCTCCTCTGCTGGACTTCCCAGCAGATAATAGGAGGGGGCTGGGATGGGACCCCCCCATTGCCAGGGCACTGGGCCGGGGCAGGAGGGGTGGGAGGGCCGAGAGGCCTGGGGGCCCACCCCCTCCCTCTTGGACCGTGGGTAGAAGTGACGAGGGAGGGGCTCTTGCCCAGTGCCTGGTTCCCCCAGCACAGGTGGGGGTGCGGCTGAGGCAGGACCTTCTCCCCTGTCCCAGCTGCTCACTTTGGGGTGACCAGTGTCGCAAGAGCCCCCACGTGCCCCAGGACAGAAGCCACAGAAGGCCCTGCAGCCCTGGAGAAGGACGGAAGGAGGGAGGATGGGTGTGGGACCTGCCTCGAGTTCTGGGGCCCAACCAGTGGCCCCGACCACTGTCTCCTGGACAGCACAGGGGTGGGGCGCGGAGGTGGGGGCCAGTGCATCCTCCACACCCAGGGTCACCTCAGAAACCCAACGCAATAGACAGACAAGAGGCAAATTTACATAATCAATAATAATAATAATAATAATTAACCAATAATAATAAATACTTAAACCTCTAATCCATGGATTGCAAATACAACAATGATAGCTTATTTTCTGGGGGATGGGCGGGGACAGAGGGGAGAGGAACAGGACTTCAGGTCATAGGAGGGAGGACAGGGACATAGGGCTGGGGGTCAAAAGAAGAACAAATAGAAGAAACAGCCAGAGAACAGCTGGGGGGGCAGGCACCCCCCCCATGCCTGAGGACTCAGTCCTGCCCGGGTCACCCCTCCTGCCAAGCCCCTGACCTAGTCCCAAGGTGACCAGCCCCTACCCCTAGACTCTCTAGGACATCAGGTTGGAGGACGTTAATTCCTGCCTCCCAAAGCCTTGGGTCCCACCGACCCAAGAGGGTGGGGGCGGCTGGGGCTTTTCTCCTGCCCTCACCCCCAGGCTGGCCCGCCTGGGCCAAAAAGCCACCTGCGGGTGGGGACTGGCACGTCACCTCAAAGATACCAGGGAGACTTCAGAGAGGAGAGCTCCCCGGGAAAGGGGTGTACGGGGTGGGGGGCTCTCTCCTCCGAGGTCCTTGTGGGGCTTGGGGCAGACATAGGCCCCCTTCATCTGCTTACATCAGGGACCTTTACCTGCCTGGAGATGGCTCTCCCAAAACTAAGGGCCTCACCCTCTAGGAGTGAAAGGGTCTGACAGGCATTTAACTGCCCACTTCCTCCGCAAAGCGGTCACTCGTGGAGGTACCTCAACCCGCAGGACCTTCCTGAACTCTAGGTCTGACCTGGGGCCTAGGGGGGTGGGACAAGAGCCCACACCAAGCCTCTAAGTCCCTCTGCCCTCTGCTCAGTGGCGCGGGCACTGGCTGGCCCAGCTCCTCTCGCTTGACACCTGCAGGGGCCAAGCCCCCCTCCTGCTGTTCCCCACCTGGCAGCTGGCGCTAGGGGGCACCCATGAAGCAGAGGAGAGGGGAACAGCTTCCTCTGAACTGGTGAAACTAGACCCAGGCTCAGGCAGGAGTGGAGACATTCCATCTCCAGCCCGCCCTGGGGACCCAAATCATCAGACACTCCCGGGGCCCCCTTCACTGCACTCCGGCCCTGTTCCACACCCCAGCCGTCTCAACACCCCGGTCTCCTCAGGCCCAAGCCCTCGACACCCGCCAGGCCACAGGCCCGGGGGGGGGTGGGCAGTGGAGGTGCCCTCAGTGGCACCAAGCTTTGGCTCCTGGAGCTGACAGGCTGCTAGAAGTGCCCCCTCCACTACACCCCGGCTCCTGGAGACACTGCCTCCCACCTATGGCTTTGGCGCAGAGCCCAGAAGACGCAGGGGAGCTGGAAGAGGTTGGGGAGGACGGGGTGGGCAGGGAGGTTCTGCGGCTCAGTTTGTGGCAAAGTTTTTTTTTTATCCTTTTTTCCCCTTTTCTTATGTAAAAGTGCACAAAAGCTCAGCAGCCTCTTTGCATCGATCAGCAGTGTTTCCTGGGGGAGCGGGTGGAGGGGACCCCAGGCCTGGCACCCCAGCCTGCAACTGAAGGTGGCCTCATATTGCTTAGAAACGTGGGTTTCAGTTTAAATACCAGACAGTAAAAATAGAGCTCAGAGGGCCGCCCGCAGTGTTGCCAAATCATTGCCAGAATGAACAGCTCAAATAAATAAAAAATTGAAATATTTACTTCTCGATAAAAATC